GTGAACCAAACGCCACCTAAGAGATGAAACTACAAACCGAAAATAGCTATTTTAATTAATTTCCCTCAATAAAAGATAACATCTATTATTATGTTGTATATTAAATGAACATAAAATGTATTTTAGACCAACTTTCATTACTCAATACGACATGGTCATGACAACTAGTATGTCATCAAATTGTAATACAATACAATAATTAAAAATACACAAAATCATTGTTAAATATTTTGCTACTTTACGCATAATAATAAAAACACCTCTTCAGTTTAAACAAAATACAAATCTTATGATACCTATTTCATCAAATTAAGATACAAATTTGATTTGATCATGCTAAGACCTATGCAGTAGATTCGATTATAGAAAAACTACCATTGCAATAGATTTAGATTATTTGTGCATGTTGATCAACTATTATTGAAGATTGGAAATATAAGGAATCTCAATTACATTGAAAATCCAATGAAGTAGTTCGACGAGAACTTAACTACTGAAGATTTCGTTGAGTCATAGAAGTCTGAAGCTAAAGAGTTAAGCATTGAAGCTGAACACTTGTTTCATTCTGAAAGCATGTTTGTGGATATAAAAACACAAGACTTAGTTTCCCTGATGACGAGAGATTCTCTGAAAGTAAAGTTGAGTGAAGCTGGCGCCGAAGAAGACATTGCCACTAAAAGTTGTCTTGATGAAGCTAAAGTTGAGCATCACCTTATCATTTTGCCATTTAAGGGTTCTTGACATAGGTTGCCTTTAAAGCCAATTACATCACTAATGCATATCGATAATTAAATGTTCATTGTCAAAAGAGGTCAAACGCATGCTAACAGTTCTACAATAATCCTGGAGGTCAACTCCTTATCCAGAGAATACATAGAAAAGATAAATAAAAAGCGTTCTTTCTGTATAAAATTGTAAACAGCCACCAAAAGACATAAAAAAAAACTCTACCAACTTTCCGAATTGATTGGAAGAAAATCAAATCTTTTGATATCAACCCAAAAGCCTTTACATATCGATATATCACTATGGGCTATAAATAGCAAGCGAAGATCGAAAACAAATGCATCTCGGCGATCTATGCTTTATTATCTTCATGCTGAATTTCTTATTGTATTCAGAGATTTCTATAGCTGAACATGTGAATCTAAAGAAGACATATTAGCGCACTCTGTCAAATGAAATATTACTTATAAGCCTAAGACCAGTTGTGATTTAGATCCTTCTGTCAATTTGTAAAGAGATCCTTGCTCCTATTGCATATTAAGATAAACCATTTTATTTAATGAATCTAAACACTGTTCTTATAAATGCCGAGACTACAACAAGAAGATGGGAGCGTACATCTTTCGCAAGTTGTTTGGCATAATGATAGGCTAATTGTACAGTCTTTTCAGAAACATCTCTATCGTTTTTTTGCCTGTAGATATCCTACCTATATTAGATTCTATTTTTTGTAAGATATATTGGGTTTGTTTGTTTTGGTTTTAAATGCTAACATGACAAATAAGGGAGGCTTAATCCATGTTTGCTTACATCACATGTGTGTGTATGCTTATGTGTGTATATACATTTTATTGTATGTGTGATGTTTATGTGTGTATATACATTTTATTGTATGTGTGATGTACCATGTGTACCAGGGACAACAGAGGTGCGATCGGGGAAATGGTGCATCGACTCGTCGTTCGACTTCTCGATGAACAATTAAGTTTAGATCACGTGAACTACGACATTCAAGTTTGGAAAAAACACACACACACACACATAGCTATTCACATTATCATCTTCATTCTATTAGTTTTAATAAGGTAAAAGAAGCCGAACTTTCACAACAAAAACACTGTGAAAATTACCTTCACAGCGTTTTGCTGTGAATTTTCAAATGTAAAAAAATTGTCTCACGGGTTTTACGAAAACAGACTAGTATTACGTGATCTCAAGTCTATATATAAATCAACTATATACTATTTTACACAATTATTATAAACAAAACGGTTACAAATGATTAACAATTATTGATACAACATAAACCAACATTTCCGTTTAATTATTTACGCAAGCCTTATTTTCGATTATTCAAATATATTTTGTTTAAAATTTCAGAATTACATAAAAATAGTTAGATTTTTAATGCTTACTACTTTAAACTTTTGGTATTTTAATTAGTTTTGATAAATTAAATGATTGGATAATAATTATTACTTCAAATTAGGATTATTTAAAAGATAGACTTTATATATTTAGAAAAACTAGAAAGATATTTGCGTAATGCAGTGAGGTAAATCTCAATTTTTAATGTTTAGTTTTTATTCTTTGTCTCTATCAATATAATACGATTTTATATGGTTTTGAAAAAAAAACAGTAATGTTTTTTTTTTCCAATTAAAATATCAATTTGAAGATAACATAAAAATTTATACAAAAATAAATCAATAATAGTATCAAATTAACTATTTAATAGTTCTATTTTTTTTTGTGTAACTTCTCTAATTTAGTTTTTTTATTATAATTTAATTTAGATTTGATGACAAAGTAATTTATTTTTGTTTTAATAATATAATTTATAAAGATAATAATTAAACATTCTGTTAGAACTCAATGATTATCTTAATTATATTTTAAATTTTCTATATTTAAAATAGATGTTTATTCTGTATTTGATTATTTTTACTAGCAATTAGTTACACAAATTTAAAAATGAAGCTTTAATAAGTTGTACTTACGCAAAATTACTTGTAATCTTAAATTTTAAGTAATATGCATCAATAAACAGTACTTCATATATAAAAAATGGTTTTTAAAAATTTTTGTCAAATATTTTATAATATAATAGATAACCCAATTGAGCAACCTTTATCTACAAACTTATCTATTTATTCTTATTAAAAGCCATTTTAAATATTTAAATAACAATATGACATTTTTATAAATTTTGATATTTAATTAGCAATTAATTTTTATTGACATTAATAATTGAATTAAATATCTAAAAGAATTCCGAATCTAACCATAAGAAAAAGCACATGAAGTGCTTTTCGATTATTAAAAGGACCAAAAATCTCCTGCACAAGAAAACCAGAAAAATACAAGTGGAATTTTTTATATTTAATATTTAATTATTAGTTTCTTTATTTCAATTCATTTTTTTAGATTATCTATTTCTTGTCTCCATAAAATATTAATTGGTTGCTAATTTGTTTGAATAACACTGTACTGCCCTTTTATTTTATTAAAACAGTCATATTTAATTTAAATTATCTAAAATCATAATTTTAAATAATAAAATATTAAACGGTTACCCAAGTAAGCGCTTACCAAGTCACACATTACTTACCGGATGAATATGGCAACGAACACGAATCTTACATTGTAATAGTGATGCAATGACCGAGAGTCTTACCCAGTAAGTGAGGGCGACGACTCTTATCAAGTAAATTGTTGCATATGATGCCGTTTTTGTTGACTAAAATCTCACCTGGTAAGTGATAGTGTTGAATTTTATCGGTAAACACTTACCGGGTAAATGTTTGGTTAACGACCCGTAAGATTTGAATGCCACCCACTGTATAGTGTATATAATTTATATATTATTAACGTTTTATATATTAGCGACATGTTAGATTCAGTTGAATTGTGTCTAACCCAAATTTCAAATCTATTAATTGACAATTGACAAATTGGGTTTAATGTAGGTTGGGTTGTGTGGTTTAACGGTTTAGTGGTGGTTGATCAATCCTATTTGAAATTAATGAAAATGAGTATCCGAGTCCCCTTGTAGCAATATCGACTAATACTATGAGGACTTATAGTTAACAACTAAACTAAGGAGTTGTTCATTAAAAAATTAACGGCAAAAATCATCACACTCACTTACTTTATTGAATAACATTTTAGGTCATCAAAATAAATTGTTGGTAAACGTCTTTTATCAATAACCACTTATCTGGTAAGAGCATTCTTCCTCATTTATAGGGTAAGATTCTCGGTCTTCGCTGGTCTCTTACTGGGTGACATTTTATTCTAATATAGTTTACCATTTTTTATTGTTAGTATAAAAATCCAAGAGCTTGGCTCACATGACCATTTCCCCCGTTCAAATTCGTCTCCTAACCATTTCTTTTCCAAGTTGACCCAGATGTCATTATAACCGCAATACCCAGATCTCTAATATTGTGGACCTACCAAAAAGACAAAAATAATGTCAAATTCAACCAATTTACCATCGCAACTGTGGATCTGGCAATCACAATTACATATCTGTGTTGAATTTTTGGTCTTTAACTAGGTCCACAATATTACAGAAATAATGACATTTAGATCAATCCAAAAGAGTAATTAACAAAGAAGAAAAATTATCATTTAACTCAAGTAACTCTAAAAATCCACTTAATTTTGGTGAAATAAAAAACGCACGTGAATTTGATTTGAAAAGAAAACAATGCAAAAAGCAATATGTTTTTAAGATTTTTGTAGAAATTAATACAAACCACAAGAATCTTGACACGTAACCCCACAACATTTCGCGACTACAGCTCACTACTTATTTCCATCTGCACGCGCCACTTTTTTCTATTTTTATTTTTATTTTTTATTTTACCACCCAATTAAATAGATTATTAAAAATATATATATTAATATTATTTAATACCAACTATTATTACCAAAATAACTACGCTTTAACGACTTGTACTAGACGCATAAAATATAAAATTTTAATTTTAATTTTTTTTTGTAAAATGACCGTTTTTTTGGCACCGGAAATAAACAGTATGTGAGACCAAGAAAAAAAGCGGTGTCGTTTCGGTGAGTGACAGACGACAGCCACGTGTTAAGGTCCCTCCTTCAACGTGAGCCACAAAACTCCACCAATTTCTCGATCGTTCTAAAAAATTAAATTGAAAAAAGAAAAGACGAAAAATTATATTCTGACGTGGCACCCCCTTCTTCGCTTTCTCCCTTTTCCTCCAAATACAAAACTACTCTTCCTTTGTATCTTTGATTTCAAGAACACAAACCACACCTCTCTCTCTCTCTCTCTCGCTCTCTTTCTCTCTCTCTCTCTAGCTCTGTTTAGGTTTTCCGATTGTTTTTTTGGAGATCGCTGGCTTATACCAGCCGTCTCCGGTCATCGGAAACCGTTTTTTCTTCCAGAGAAATCTTTATTCAGAGCCCTAATCTGATAATTTCATCTTTTGCGGTTGTGGTTGCTTTGTTTTCTGAGACAGATAGGTGATTTCGAGAGTCGGAGGTTCGGATCTTTGTTGTGAGTTTCATCTAGGTTCCAATCCGGGTCCGGTGGGGGTTGTTCGTTACGGGTCGGGTTGGGTTGTGATTCAATATATGAGTTTGATTTCTTCGACGATTCGTTTAGATCCGGAGATGGGTCTGTGAATATTGGTGTATACTAATTTTGACTGACGTTTGGTGAAGAAAGCTGTGGAGGAAGGTTGAATAATTTGAAGAATTTCTCGATGGTGTGTGAAAGCATGGCTGAGGTATGTATACGACCATGAAATCTTCCTAATTAACAGTTCAATTCTGCAAATTATCGGATTATTCATGTTTATTAAGAATTCAGTTTAGGTGATTTAATTTCACATGATATTTTGATAATAACAGGGTTTTGTATGATCATGGTTGTGCTTTTTGATGAATCATTTAGAAAAAAAAGTATTACTTAAATAACTTTGACTGAAAATCTGCAAAAAGAATATTAAAAAACCGAACATTTGGTTCATTTCCCCATATGTTCATGTGTTCCTGGTTGATGAATCTTGATTAGGGATTGATAATTGCTTATAAGAATAGTGGAGGGTATTTTGGTAATTTGCGGATTAGCCATTTTAAGCTGAAATTAGAATCCAAATCTGCTTGTTAATCCAATCAAGTGTTCATTTTGTGGATTGATGATGCTTATGGAGTGAATTAAATCAAAGATTTTGATAGAAGAAGTTGATTTTGGGGTTTCAGAATGTGAATGGAAGATATCTTGCATCAGTTCATCCTACATTTAGTGTATCAGGATGTAACAATTGGGAAGTTTGGATGGATAGATTTGTGGTTGATTTGAATCTTAGTTGCAATTTCCTAATTTGACCCCAATCTTGTTGTCTTGATGAATGTAGGATCGTAGCGAAGGCTCCGTTTCAAATACGGTCAAGAACGATCAATTCATGTCGGCAGATGACTATGCCCCCAAGGTTTCTTTCTTTTCATGACGACTAAACGGACCCCTGATCGGGAAATCATGTTGTACCCTTTCTTGGATTAGTGTGCTTATGATATTTTTGATGTTAAATAGGCAAGGAAGCCGTATACGATCACGAAACAACGAGAAAGGTGGACCGAAGAAGAACACAAGAAATTTCTCGAGGCTTTAAAGCTATATGGCCGAGCTTGGCGACGAATTGAAGGTATTTTGTTTTGTTAATGATGTATTTTAGTAGGTTTAGATTGAGTTTGAATATGAAAACTGAAACCGAACACTTCCCTCTGTGCAGAACACGTGGGTACGAAAACTGCAGTTCAAATAAGAAGTCATGCCCAAAAATTTTTCTCTAAGGTCTATTGCTGCTTATATCCCTTCTTTGTAAACAAATTTGTACAATTTGCAATGAAATTGTACTAATCTGTAGTGTTTTTATGTGTTTAGGTGGTTCGTGAATCGACTAGCGGTGATGCGAGTGAGGTGAAACCGATCGAGATTCCGCCTCCTCGTCCAAAACGGAAGCCGATGCATCCGTACCCTCGTAAGCTTTCGGCTCCGCTAAAAACGGGCGGTCATCATGCTAGATCGACATCTCCTAATTCATCGGGGTCGGATCAAGAAAACCAGTCCCCGACTTCGGTTCTGTCGGCAGGCGGTTCGAACATGTTTGCTTTGGGTGATTCGTGTTCACCAAACCCGGGATCCTCCCCGGTTTCATCGGCTAACGGCGTGAAACCTGGTGGGTCCTCGCGGTTTGAACCTGATCTCTCCCCGGAAGAAAACGAGTCTTCTCCGACTGTCCAAGAGGATGATGGTCCAATTCCAATGGTACTACTTCTCATTTTCATGTTAAACTTATGTGAACATCTGCTAACAAAGTGCTTCCTACGAAATTATGATTTCCTGCACGATCCCGATTCGCATACCAGAAGTATAATTGTTATCTTTTTGGCGGAAATTTCTAGAAACTGGATTCATGCGGTGAAGAAAAAGAAAAAGAAAAAGGGTTTGCTGATGAAGGTTCCCCTGAAGCTGGATCCGCCCAAAGTTTGAAGCTTTTTGGGAAGACAGTCGTTGTTACGGATCCCAACCACCGACCATCTTCCCCAAACGTTGCGGTTGATCCATCTGAAGGCAACATCAGCATCGTAAATTTGATTCCACAGAACTTGATGCCTATTAGTTCTTTACCTTGTGGAGCACCTGTGTACTACATGCAGTTTCTTGATGAGCACTCCGACTCAAGCGTCCTCAGGTCGTCCACCACAGCTGCCGCCCCATGGTGGTCTCTTTACGGCGGCATAACTTACCCCGTCATGCAACCGTGTAATCCAGCAACAGAAATGCAAAACGAGTGTTCAAATAACAGTGAAAGCGAAAATGGTGGAGCAAATGAGGAGCAAAAGAAGGCGTTTTTGGTGATTGGAAGCGAGAGATCAGCGTTTACGAAGCAATATGGCGGGGGGAAGAAGAAGGATACGTGTATAAAAGGATTTGTACCATATAAGAGATGTTTAGCGCAGAGGGAAAGCCATTCGCATTCAACCGGTGAAGAAAGGGAAGAGCAAAGAGTAAGACTTTGCTTGTGACCTTGGGTTTTTGCAAATGAGATGAAATGATGTCTCTTTGTTTGCTATAATTTAACATGTTGGTATTGGGCAATGGCAATGGCAATGGCAATGGCAATGGCAATGGCAATGGCAATGGGTGCATTTAAAGATGAGAACCAAGTGTATAGAAGGGGATGAAGATATGCACCTTTTTTTGATTCTGGTTTTTGTTAATTTTTGGTAATTAATGCATTTTGTAGCTGACTTCTGTTTCTAGACTTGTACTTTCATTATGATCATGTTTTATGGTTTCTTTCACTTGGGTTGATTACGTCGTAACCAGTTACGTGGTCGTGCTTTTTGATATTGATATGTCGTCTCATGACTGATTACGGGTCAATTACGTCGTGATTGGTTAAGAGGTAGTTTGCGACATCGCATCCACCATCTTTGTTGATGGTTGAACCCAGTAACCGAAACCCTCTCTCTAACCTGTCTTGAAACCTAGCAGTGGCACCAATGATTTAATGCTTTCAAGTTTGAAGTACAAGCGTTAAATTAGAAGGGTCGGACAGATCTATCAATGTCTTTTTTTTTTCTTTTTAATTTTATAAAAAGAATTAATTACAAAAACTATAACTTAAAATCATGATTAACTTTTTTCTAAATAAAATAGATCGAGTTATAAACAGAGTGTTAATTCATTTGATTTATTTCGTTTTCAATTAGTTATAAATTTTTATAATAATAACATAATATGCTTTAAATTTATTAATTTTTATATAAAAATTATGGTCTAAAGCGAAAGAAAATGATAGGGTGGTGTCGATTTTGAAAAGGAAACCTTAAAACGAAATACAACCTCATATTTTTTTTTCTAGTGATATCTGTTTGGAGATGATAAATATCACTCCATTATTATCATATTTATGTGCCGTTTATCAAACGCTTATTCGGGTAATCATTTACCAAGTCACTTTACTTTACTGGATGAATATAACAAGAATTAAGAATCTTACCCGGTAAGAACGAAGACAAGAATCGAGAGTCTTACCCGGTAAGTGAGGGCGACCACTCTTACCATGATTAGCGCTTACCGGGATTAAATTATTGTATACGATGCGTTTTAATGAATAAAATCTTATCCGATAAGTAAGCAATAGTGTTGAATTTTACTGGTAAGTGCTTACTGGGTAAATGTTTAGGTAAACGGCCCCTTATTCTTTATTAATTATTTTATTATATATATATATAGAGAAGATCAAATGTTAACCATCATTTTTGTGTCAACTTTGAAAACCCTCTCAACCAATCAAATTTCATTATTCTTATAGGTTTATGTCTTGTTCATTTTACTCTTACAAGGGTATTCTAGTAAATTGAATTCATTTGTAACCCTCAAACAATTAATGGGGAGTTACAAACAATCAAATCCCAAAAAATATGCATTTATATTATTAATTTTTTTTTACTATTGATCTTCCATGTTCATTCTTGTATGAATTTCAAAATCGCATAAGAAACACGGTAGTAACGATTTTCGGTATTGATCAATTTGAACACAAATGAACCATGAACACAATTTGAACAAATTAACAGATAAACACAAATTAACAGATGCTACCTTAATTTTGTGGGATGTCTATGTATGTGAATATATGGGCCAAAAATTGCACATATCGTGTTCAAGGTTCATTTATATTCAAATTATGTTCACGGTTGTTCATTTTTGTTCAAATTGTGTTCACGGTTAATTTGTGTTCAAATTGATCAATACCGAAAATTGTTACTACCGTGTTTCTTATGCAATTTAGAAATTCATACAAGAATGAACATGAAAGATCAATAGTAAAAAAAAATAATAATAATATGAATGCATATTTTTTGGGATTTGATTGTTTGTAACTCCCTATTAATTGTTTGGGGGTTACAAATGAATTCAATTTACTATAATACCCTTGATAAGTGTATTTTTTCTTCCCAAAATGCCCCTTTCATTATTGTTCACTAGGCCTCATTAAAATTCAAACTTTAAAATTTAATTTTTTTTATTGATTAATCTTAACCGTTGATTATAGAATTGGATGACCAAAATCAGTTAATAAGGTTAACACAAAAATGATGGTTAACATTTGATCTTGACCCTATATATATATATATATATATATATATATATATATAATATTAAAGTTGATTACCGATAGCTTTAACCTTTTTTATATGGGACCCAATGTGAGCCATTTTTCTAGGGGCGAACATGGTACGACACCATGTTTTTATTTTCTATATATCATGTACCAACCAATTACAAATGATACATAAAGTTTTATATCATGTACTACTCAACTATATTTGGTACCAACTAAATTGGTCATAACTTTTTTATGTTGGTATGGTTTTGTATCAACATCATGAAAATTGAAGTTACAAATTAATCAATCCTCACATCTTTACCAACTATATCTACATGCATTAAACCCACTGAGCATTCAAATAACATGTTGATATGTGTTGTACTACTTATCTCTACGTATACAAGCATTCAAATAACTTTCATATAATACAAACACTCAGTAATAGTTTAATACAAGCGACGATGGACCATTGAGTTGTGCGCGAGTTGATAAGGTTGTCAGGGTTAGGCGATGAATTCAATCACGCTTTGCATACTCATCCACATTATAAGTTAGAAAAAGTTTGTTCATATAGGCAATGTGATATGCGAATCTTCACTTATTTGACTTCACTTTATTGAACGAAGCTTCGTCTTTGTTTTTCTTCAAAGCCCTAATCCGCTCACCGGAAAGTGAAGTCTACTTAAATAAGACCAGCTTCGTCCCCTCGGGGAGCATTAGCAGGCAAGTGGCAGCCTGCTGGCAAAGAGAATGTTAATGGAAAATAAGATAATTAAAAAACTTAAAATCAAAATAGGTTGTATTCTTGATTAAAATTTAATTAGTAAATAATCAAAAATAAATCGGTAAACTATGGTATGTGACTTCTAATACCACATACCAACCAAGTTTAGATAGCTGGTATGATACCACCAACCAATTAGATAACCAACTAAATTGGTACAGTTGGTGTAATAATTGGTTGGTTTATTTTTGGTAAAATTGATACCTTCAACGATTGAGGCTAGCAGGGAGAGGTCAAACTCCGGATTTGTCTTACATTTTAACAAAGTCGTCGCCACTTTACCAATTGAGTTACACGTCAAAAACAATTATTCTAATAGACAAAGGATTGTGTGAGGATAGTAGTTATGGTGAGAAGTATAAAAAAAGATTTGGACCCTTGATCACTTTTAATCCCAAAACAACTCATGAATTACACTTTAAAAGAAAATTGATCCAAAATATTTCATTAGTATTGATATAATGGTTCTCTTTAATTAGGATTTATCCAAATAATTTTCACCATAACTTTTATTCTTATCAGAACCTAACCCTCATTCTATAATATTACTTTTTGAATAAAACAATTTCTGAAATCATAATTGTTTGAACATAACTTTGACCTTTTTAAGCCATTCTATCTTTCTTTTCAACAATATTTTTAAATTTAAAGGGTGTTTGGGATTGCTTATTTGAATCAACTTATGTTTTTTTTTTTCCAAAAGTCTTTATCAACTTATTATAAATTAGAATGGTTTAACTTTTTTAAAAACTTTTTATTACCACTTTGACACATGTATAAACTATTTATCCAAACACTCAAAATTGCTTATTACTGGTGTCATACCAGAATAAGTCAATAAGTTGTTTTTATAAACAATCCCAAACACCCTCTTAATTATTGTAATCAGTTATAAATACAATAAAATCATAATCAATATCTTTTTTTAAAATTTGCCTTCTTTTATTTCCTAAAATATTATGAAATTTAAAAATATAACACTTTTTAACTATTAATTAGCTCATGGTAGTGATTGAGACAAGTGCCAAACAAATCCAAGAGATAAGAGGTCACTGAATGTAGGTCACTAATTCTCCCTAGAATCCATGTCTAAATTTTGTTAAAATAAAATATACTTTTATTTTTATGTTACTTCCTTTTAAAAACTCAGATTTTAAAAGGACAATGTTATATGCACGTCTTTTTATATTGAAATCAGGTCAAATTATGTATAAAAAATATAAAAAGTAAGTCTTTATATGTAACAATCAGAAACTTAAAATAGACATTTCATAACCTTTGCCCAAACCGACAAGTAACAAGTCTATAATTCAACATGATACCAAGAGTTGCAATAGAAAATAAAGTTTAATGCTGAGATTTATTGCAAAACTAAAAGTAAATTCTACTCACGTTCACTTTAAGAGGTGGTTTAAGGTAACTGGAAGAATGCGTCCACACTTCAAATCTCTAGTTCACACTTTCCCTTTTTCCTTGCTAGAGCTCTCGACATGGTACTTCTCTAAAAATGTTTCCGTTTTATAGAAAAAATGAGGGTTAGACCGGAGGTCACTACTAGAAAACTGGGCATTTCCGATGGATTTTCCGGCGGATTAACGGCGGATTTCCGGCGGTATTTTAAAAAGTCAACTTTTGTTGACTTCCGCCGGAAATCCGCCGGAATTCCACCGGAAAAGTTAAACCGGTTATATTTCCGGCGGATTT